CTGCTCACCCCAGCTTTACTGCTAAACTGGGATGAACTGGTGAGCTTGAGAGCTGTCCTCCAGCTGGGACCTACTGCAACTGGAAAGGTGCAGCTCCATCCCCTCCGTGCACCCCAGCAGGATCAGCTGGGTTTGGGGCTGGGTTTGGGGCTGGGTTTGGGGCTGGCTGGGCTCTGCACACCCTGGGCAGGGATGGGGAGCAGGCTGCACTGCTCCTGGGAGCCGAGCAGAGTGCGGGCCTGGGCTCCAGCCCGGTCAGCAGAGGAATCTGCACACGCAGACAGGATCGCTGCAATTGCTGGTGGCTGAGTGAGCAACTCTGCAGGCTTCCTCGTCCCCTCGCCCTGAATGTCAGCTTTGAATTTTCTTGCTATTTTTAGGGATGGTTCAAAAAAAAAAAAAACCACCAAGGAGTATCCCCTCCCTTCTGGCTTTGCAGGGCTCTGTGCCCCATGAATATTGCAAGGCTGTGGATTACTGTACCTGTGCAGGGACGGGGGGAGAGGGACAGAGGGACAGGGCAGGGAAGAGAGAGAGGTCGTGCAAAACCCATGACATTGCAAGCAGAATGGGTTAGAATGTAAAAGATTTATTAATTTAATCCAAAGCATTAAAAGGTCATGTATTAATCAAAGAGATGCTTAAAACTGTCAAAGTCCTTTGTCAGGTTTGAAGTGCATCTCTATAGTTATCATAAAATATATATATCAGTCTGGCATGGAGCCCCGGGCAGGGCTGGAGGAGGATGAGGACTTGAGAGGGGCTTTGCAGTGGGAGGGACCCCCCGACCTGGCCCTGCCAGACTCCCGTGGGTGCCCAGCACCCACACTGAGCTGGGTGCCTCATCCTGCTGGTGCCCAGGCCTGGCTTTGATCCGTCCCACGCCAGGCTCGTGCCCCGTGTGGTCTGGGGTGCGTTTGGGGTCAGAGTTTGGGGTGGAGGTGGGGCTGGCAGCGGGGTCCCCCACTCGTCCCCGCGGGCGCAGGTGGCTCCGGCAGTGGCAGTGGCGCTGGGGCGGGTGAGCTGTGCCCGTGCCACTCGTGTCACCGCTCCGCGCGTGCCCAGCCCTGCCAGGATTTCACTTCAGCCGGGGAGGGGGTGGCGCAGGCGGGTCCCCGGGGCCGCCCGGGTCACCGGACGCGCTCTCCCAGCCAAGTGCTGTGTCAGCAGCGTTGGCGTGGACTAACGCTACCATCTAGCGGCTGCTCTGCCGCCGCTGTCCCCGCTCGGGCCGTGTCCCCGCCGGCCGCCCCCGAGCAGCCCCCCGAGCCCGGGGCCAGGCCGAGCTGCCCGGGTTTGGCCCCGAAGGCTGAGCCTGGCCGGGCTGGGGGTGGCAGCTGTCCCCCCCAAAGCCACCAGCTCCCGGGGTGGGAGCAGGGCTAGGGGGCTCTGGGGTGCTGTGGGGAGATCTGGGGCACGGGGACAGAGGGCGAGGAGGCAGAGGAAGGCGTTTGATTGATGCTGTGCTGGGATACAGGAGTTGTTGTGGGGAGCACGGTCCAGAGACCCTGATGGGGTCTGGGGGTGGGGGGGGGGGGGGTCCTGACCTTCCAAGGCCTGTGGAGAGTTGTGGCCAGCCAGGTTTTTGTCTCCATGAAGGCAACTGCGGCAGAAAAGCCCAATTCACCCCCGAATTCCAGCACCAGGCTGCCCTGGAGCAGCAGCAAAACCTTTCCCAGTTTCTCCCAATAAAACCATTTCCGAGCAGCCCCGTGGCCAGCAGAGCAAGGCTCCCGCTGTGCCCCTCCCCATCTCCTGTGCTGGCGCTGTCACCCGACCATTCCCACACCCAGAAAACCCCGTCCCCAAATCCTGCTGCTCCCCCACAGACTGCTGCCACAGATGCTGCTGTTGTCAGTGCACAGCTCTTCCCAATTATCTGTTGTTTTTCCGTGGAAAAAGGTGTCCCCTCACAGCGACTGCTGCTGAGCTGCTGGTTGACTGCAGATAAATCCATCTGTGCCTCAGTTTCCCCTCTGAGGGGACAGTGCCTGCAGGCCTGGATGGGCAGGCTCAAGCCTGGTCAAGCCTAAACCCACATTTTTGGCCATTTTCCACTGTTGTCTGGCCACTGCTGCCGCGGAGACGTGGCTCTGCTCCACGACCCAGGGCTCTGCGGGCTCTGCCAGTCCCCGGGGAGCCGGGGCCAGGGGCACAGGGCCGAGCCCCCGCCCTGCTGTGGGTGGGGATGGCTCCTGGGGGGTCCCGAGGGTCCCCAGCAGCCCCCGGGGGTGAGGGCAGGGTGGCTCCGCTGCCCGTGCCGGGCTCTGCAGCGTCCCCACCCTGTGCCCTGCCACGGGGGCGCTCGCTGCCTCCAGAGCCCCCCGGGCTGGCCAGGCTGGCCCGGGCTGGCCCGGGCTGGCAGAGCAGCCAGGCTGGGCCGGGCAGGTGTGCGGGCAGGAAAGGGCAAGGGGGCTCGGCACCACGGGGAGCAGGGTCCGGAGCACCGGGGGGACCTGGGGGCGCTGGAGGGACCCTCGGGGGCAGGGCAGGGCCGGGCGAGGGGGCCGGGCTGCTCTCTCTCCCCTCTGGAGCTGCTGCAGGGACCAGCCGGCCGGGACGGGAAGGGGACGAGCACAGCCCCCAGCTCCGAGCTGTGCTCTCCCCTCGAGCCCCCAGCAAGCTCTGAAGCAGACACAAGCCTGCAGCACCTTAGGAGGGGTCCTAACCTCGCTGCCCACCTGCCCATCGCTGCTGGAGCTCTGGGGAGGGTGACCCTGGGCTGTGCCCACCCACAGCTGCCCCTCCACCCCGATCAATGCTGCTCAGCATTAACATAAAATCGATGCCCCTCCCCTGCCCAGCCTGTGGTCACCCCGCAGCAAAATCCTTTAAGCCCCTCACCCTCCTGCTGGGGGAGGAGGAGTATGGAAGGATGGGGACCAGGACGGGGGTCCCCCCTTCAGCCCCCTCACACAGGCACCTGCAATCTAGGGCCCCACATCCCCAAGAGCCTTCACAGCAATGACAGCAAGATGGGGACACGCTCTGGTGACGTGGCCGTGGTGGCACAGGGGTTACCGTGGCAAATCCTCCCGAGTCCTGACCCCTCCTGCCACCAGCACTGCTGGACACGAGGGGCCTTGGCTGGACATGGAAGAGTGGCATCACTTCAAGCTGGGGCTGGACAGAGAATGGTGGGACCGGGCCCTCTGAGGGCATGAGCAGGCAGGAACAGGGATGGAGCTGGGGCTGGCATAGCTGGAGCTCACACACCAGGGCCCATCCAGAAGCACCTCTCAGTCCATTGTTCCCTGGATGGGGTTGGGGTCCCCATGGCCCCCCAGGCCAGCCCTGGTCTATGAAACCTCCAGCTGTGATTAAATAGGGGCTTTAATTACTTGGGATGAATCAAATGGACCCTGCCCAGCACCAGTGGGTACAGACTGGGCACTCCAACCCTGTCTTGTGCCAGTGTCGTGCCAGGGTTTGGACTGGGGTGCTCCCCTGGTCTGAAGGCTTTTTGTCCCCTCAGTGGTGGAGGGGGACAGCACATGTCCCCGTGGCTGTGGGGACAAGGGACACATTGGGTGGGTGAGATGTGTGTGCCCACCCAGAGGGAGAGGGGGTTTGGGGCTCTGGGTGGCTGCCAGAGCCTGTGTGTGCCACACGTCAGGGGATGGCAGTGCCAGGGCCGTGGCCATGGGGTGCCCTGGCCGTGTCCCCCAGGGCCAGCCCCGTGCAGAGCCCTTGGCCACGATCAGGCACCAGGGCTGTGCCTGGGGCTGCTGGCAGCAGCCGCTGCCTCTCCTGTCCCTGCCACACCATCTGCTCTGTGCCCCTGCCCCGGGCAGCCTGCCACCCGCCTGGCTGGGGCCTGGCCCTTCCCCAGGGATGGGCAAGCAGGGGCACGTCCAGCCCCGCTCCACTCCACCACCATGTGCCGGGGATCAAATGCCCTTGTAGGAGGTGTGAGGATGCCTGCTGGCACCCAGGGATGGTGGCATGTCCCAGGCCTCCTGGTATGTCCCCAAACCCCTCAGGATATCCCCACAGCCCCTGCTATGTCCCCAAACCCTGCCCCCTTCCCCATATGCCAGCATTTTCCCCATAGCCTGAGCCCCCCTGACTGGGGTGGGGGCCGGTCCCTCCTTCCCATCAGTGCTGAGGAATTCATTACCGGCACAGCTGGGCCCTGCTGGGGAGGCCAAGCTGCAAGGAAAATTAACCCCTTCCTCCCCAGCCTGCCAGCACAGGACCCCTCCCTGTCACAGCTGGCAGGAGAGACAGTCCCCTCCTGGGGAGTGCTGGGGGCTGCAGGGTGCTCTGCATGGGGGCAGCTTTGCAAACCCAAATTCCTCCCAACCCAGCGTTTCCAGGCCTTTATTCGCAAGGGAAGTTGGTGTGTGCCCTCCCCACGTGGCCTTGGGGGCAGGGGGGTTTCTCTGCTCCCCCTTGGAGGAGCCCCCCAGACCTGTGCCCTGGGGCTGGAGGGGGTGAGGGGCATTACCCATCCTGGGAGCCCCCTGCCCCTGGGATGGGTGTTCCCACCCAAACCCTGTGACTCAGTGTTGCTCCCCAGCTCTGGGCACCCCCAGTGCTTTTGCCCACCTGGGGCAGCTCGTCTCTCTTGGGGCAGGGTAGGGGCAGAAGGACCGGGGCTGCCCCCAGTTTGTTAGAAAGGTTTTATTTCTCTGTATTTACAGACTTCATTAAAAAAAATAAACAACAAATCCCTGCCCTGCCCTTCCCTCTCCCCATGGCCCTGCCCACCCACAGCCCTGCCCTGGGGGTGCGGGGGCGTTACTGGCCATGGGGCGCAGGACTGGGACCCCGCTCAAAACGGGGGTGCCTGGAGGGGCAGCAGGCAGGGGGGCACCCTCCATTCACATTGACACCCCCCAGTGCCCCCTGGATTCCTGCTGCAGAGGGCAGAGCCAAGCTGGGGCTGCCCCCATCCCGTACCCTCGTCCTGCCCCGCGGGGCAGGAGGGAACAGCCCCTGGGGCAGAGCTGCCCCCGCCTGCCTGGGCCCCCCAGCACTCGTGTGTCCCCCCTGGCCCCCAGGGCAAGCAGGGTGGGTGTTTGGCTTTCAGGACTTGGCTCTACCATAAAGCAGAGGAGATAATGTGGGGGACAAGGGGGTCCCCCGAGTACTGGGATCCCTTGGGGGGTCGATGGCTGCTTGGGGGAGGCATATAAAATCTCATAAATTAAAGGAGACACCAGGGGAGGGAGGGTTTAGGTGACCTCCCACAGGTCAGTGCCGGGACTTTGGGGGGCTGAACCCACCCAGCTGTGCTCCCAGAAGAGATTGGGGCTGGCACGGGGGGCTCCCCCCTTGCCCTCTGCCACTCTGTGGGTCTGGGGGTGTCTGGGGGGTTCATGGGGGCCCCCCACAGTCCCCCCTGCAGCCAAAGCCCTTCTCAGGTTCAAAGCTGGGTGTGAAGGCAATAAAGGGAGTGGAAGAAGGGGGGCTGGGACACACAGTTTTGTCTTCTGAGTCCAGCATCCTTGTGCAAAGCCCTGTGTCCGCCCTGAGCACAGACAAAGGAAGCAACCACATCTAAAGGAAAAAAGAGATTCACCCCGAAGCCGCCCCAGAGCCCCCTGGCAGTGCCAGCACTGGGTCACTGGTTGTCCCCGGGCTGGTACTGGGGCTCGGTGGCAGTGAAATAGTCCTCGAGGAAGGACTGGAGGTACTCGAAGGTGGGGCGCTCCTCGGGCTCCCTCTTCCAGCACTGCACCATCAGCTCGTGCAGGGAAGGGGGGCAGCTCCCCGGGCACTGCATGCGGTACCCCCGCTCCACCTGCTCCAGCACCTCGCGGTTGTTCATCCCTGCGGGACAGGGACCCTCCTGCTCAGTGACCGCACCCCCTGGCACCAGCCAGAACTGAGGGGGGAAACTGAGGCACACAGTGGCACTGCCCTGTGGTTTGGGTAGGAGCCCAGTTCAGCATTGGTCCCTCTGAGGGGGAAACTGAGGCATGGGAGGAGCCTTGCCGAGGAGGTCAGCCCCTGTCTGTGCCCTGCCCAGCCCACCCCGGGGGTGCACCTGCCCCAGTGGGCCATACCTGGATAGGGCACGCGGCCTTTGGTCACCAGCTCCGTCAGGAGGATGCCAAAGGACCAGACGTCTGACTTGATGGTGAACCTCCCAAAAAGCGCAGCCTCCGGAGCCGTCCACTTGATGGGGAACTTGGCACCTGCAATGGGGCACAGGTGAGCCCTGGCTGGGGCTGCCCCTGCACCCAGAGTACCCTGCACCTGGTGCACCCACCTCTGGGGACAGCCCACACCTGGGACATCCCGCACCAGAGGCTCCATCACCTGAACTGCCCCTGCTGAGGGTGGCCTGCCCCCGGGGTACCCTGAACGGGGGGCACCCTGCACTAGGAGCACCCACCCCCCGTGACACCGCCTGCCTGGGGCAGCTCACACACGGGACACCCAGCACACAAGGCACTGGGGCTGCCCCTGGGGTACCCATCACTTGGGACATCCATCACCTCAAATACCCATAAATTTGGGGTGTCCATCACCCAGGACACCCATTCCCAGCACACCATAACTTGGGGCATCCAAGCCCAGGTCACCCAGCCCCGGGATGGCCATCTCCAGGCCAGGGGACACAGCAGAGGGACAGAGTGCAGGAGCTCCCACCCTGCCGTGCCGTGTACTCATCATCCTCGATGAGGCGCGCGAGGCCGAAGTCAGCGATCTTGCAGACGAGGTTGTCTCCCACCAGGATGTTGGCGGCACGCAGGTCCCGGTGGATGTAGTTCATGCGCTCGATGTACGCCATGCCCGCCGCAATCTGAGGGGCACGGAGCGCTGGAGACCCCCGGCACAGCCCGGGGCGCCCCCCACCCTGCGCCAGCCCCCCGTACCTGGGCAGCCATGTCCACCAGCTGGGGCAGCTTCAGGTAGCGCCCGTCCCCGTCCTTCAGGAAATCCAACAAGCTGCCTGCAGAAAGAAGGAGCTGCCATCAAAGACCCCCAAACCCCACGGGTGCCCTCCCAGTGAGCCCGCAGTGCCCCTGCTCACCCTGGCTCATGAACTCGGTGACGATGTAGATGGGCTCCTCCGACACCACGGCGTAGAGCTGCACCAGCTTGTCGTGCCGCAGCCGCTTCATGATCTGGGCCTCCTCCAGGAAGGCCTCGGGGGACATGGTCCCTGGCTTCAGCGTCTTCACTGCCACCTTCGTGGTGCCATTCCATGTCCCTGAGTTGGGGATACGGAGTCACCGTGAGTCCAGGGGACAGCCAGCCCAGGACAGAGGGCTGTGTGATGGAGAGGTGTGTGCGTGCATGCTTGTGTGGATGGATGGATGGATGGATGGATGGATGGATGGATGGATAAGGAATCAGGGCAGGGCAAGGAAGGGATCCCTGGGCAGGGATTGTGATCCCACTGCATCCCACCCAGGACAAGGAGTTCCCCTCAACCCCGTACCAACCTCACCCCATTCCCAAACCCTTTGTGGATTCTGTGCCAAGTTTCAATCTCGCCCACAGAAGTGGGTACCCTGTGGTGCTCCCTGCAGGACAGAAGGAACCTTCTCCTACCCACTGTGCTCCCCCAGCCCTGGCCGGCCGGGCCAGCCTTACCCATCCACACGTCTCCGAAACATCCCATGCCAAGTTTCCTGTCCAGGGTGACGGATTCCCGAGCTATCTCCCAGGCGTCCTTAGCTAATCCCAGGGTCTGGGGCTTCACAGCAGGGCACGGGTGGGTGAGGAGATGGCACAACCCGTCATTGTACTCTGCGGGGGATGGGGGGCAGGCAGGGAAGAGGAGGGAGGGGATGTGATGGGATGAAGGCAGCATGCATGAGTGGAGGAAGCAGGTGATGCCAGAGGAAGAGGATGACAAAGGTGGGACCCCCTGGCCTGGTGCTGTGGTCCCATCTGCAGTGGGGGTCTGCTTGCCCATGCAGAGGTGACATGGGGCATCCTGGGGGACCCATGTGAACCCAGAGCAGGACATGGGATAATTCCTCGTGCCAGCAAATCGGTGTCTCTCAGCCTGTCCTGGCAGGCATGAGCTTTTCCCAGTGGGGCACCAGGCCTGGGGGTACCCCCATGTCCCCCCTGCCTCTTGCCTGGCTTGCCCACCAGGCCCTACCCATCCAGACTTCCCCGAACTGCCCATTTCCCAGCTTCTTGAGGAGCTGGAGGGACTCGCGGGGGATCTCCCACACGTCTTTGGTTTTGACTGAGAGGTCGGCCAGTTTGGGGGTTCCCTTGTGGCACGGCACAGCCAGGCGGCAGCACAGCCCAGCCGCCCGCTCTGCGGCACGGGAGCAGGGAGGGACAGGAGTCAGAGTGGGCTCGGAGCCCCCAGCCCTCGGCTCCCCTCCCACCGCCCCAGGCATCACCGAGGCTCCTGGACCACCCGCTCACCCCCAGCACAGAAATGCACCCCCTCCACCTGCCCCAGGCTCAGCCCCACAGCCCCTCGGCTGGGCTGGACCCCAGTCCCCCCAGCTGCACCTGGGCTCATGCCCACTCACCAGAGACAACAGGAACTCCCTGCACCCGGGCATGGAAAAGGGGAGACTCAGGGAGCCCCTGAATGCCACCAACAGAACAGCCCCCTCCTTCCCCAGCTCAACCCCCTCAGCCCAGTCTCTTACCAAAGGGTCTTCTGAGCTTTCCCTACCCCTCCTATTGCCCCCCTTGCACCCCTCAGCCCACCCTACCTATATAGTGCTGGACCAGCTGCTGGACGGTGCTGAACTGGGCACGGGTGGTGATGTAGTAGCCCCCACTGTCCAGTTTCCGAATCTTATAGTGCTTCACGTGGTCTCCCTTGGCCTCATCCCAGTCCCGGATGGAGAGGGAGTAGGCACCTACATGGGGACACGGGTCAGGGAGGGATGTGGGGCACAGCCCCTGGTGTCCCCAGCCCTGTGCCTGTACCTTTGGTGGTCTCGCTCTCCCGAATGAGGAAGGTGCCCCTGGAGTTGCCGTGGCACAGCAGCTGCCGCTCCGCGTCTTTGCGCCCGATCTTCCCAAAGTACCACCTGCCACGGCGAGGGGCTCAGTGCCAGGAGGGGACCACGGAACCCCCGTGCCAGCACTGTGGCACTGCCGGGGCTCACAAGGACACCTGGGCCCGAGGCAGGTGGGGTTGGGGTGTGTCTCCCTCCCTTGTCCCCGCTACTCACTCTTCTGCCTGGATGGAGTCCACAGGGGCCACGTAGTTGCTGGGGATGTAGCCCGTGGCTCCCGAGCTCAGTGACCTGGCCTCCCACCAGTCCCCCTCCCTGGGCAGGGAAACAGAGAACGTGGAGGAGGAGGGACAGACAGACAGACAAGGCACAGGAGGCACCGTGTGCCTCCCCAGACCCTGCTCTCCCCCACCCATCTCTGCTGAGAGCACTCAGCTCATGACCCTGGCCCTGGTACTGAGTGATGGAGCCCAGACAGAGCTTGGGTGCCCAGCCTGGCTCCTGGGGGGGCTACCCAAGGCACCAAGGCACCTCCCTGGGGTGGCATGGGGGTGCTGGGGGTGGCAGGAGGTCCGGGGGGGCTCACGTGTTGTTGATGATGTGGAATTTCTCCCCTTTCTGGAATGTCAAGTCATCCTCTGTCCTGGCCTCATAGTCGTACAGGGCGATGAAGAGTGTCACCCCCCCGCCTGTGGCACACGGAGGGGACCGCGGTGACCCCGGGCTCCAGCCCAGGGCTGGGCAGGACACCCCTGCCTCCCTCCCTCCCTCCCCAGCACCGAGCCGCCCGCTGACCTGAGATGGCCCCGCTCCGCGTCTGCAGCACGCCGGAGGTGAAGCCCCCCGGCTCCGCAAAGGACGGCGCCGAGGGCAGGGCTGGCCCCTGGAAGTTGTTGAAGTCGGGGATGCGGGTGAAGATGGCCCCTGGCTGCGTGGGGTCGGGGTCGTACTGGGAGGCAGGGGGCTGCAGGGAGCCCCCCTCGCCCCCTGCCTGCCCCTTGCCAGCCCCCCTCTCTTTGCAGGGCACGCAGCCCATCCTGGGCACCGCCTGTGGGACAGAGGGTCCGTGAGCCCCGCGCCCCCCCGGCAGGGGGCACCCACGGGTGCCAGTGCACACATGGGGAGAGGCCCTGGGGGCACCCTGCCACCCCCCGGCTCACACCGGCCAGCAGGGGGACACGGGGGTCCCCGTGGGCACGGCCAGTGGCACTGCTGCAGGAGGGCTGTGCTGCCCGGGGGACCCCACGATGTCCCCCTGGCACCCCTGGGTGCTCCACGGCGGCCCCACTCACTGCGACGGCTCCTCAGGTCACTCCAGCTGCTCCATGTCCCTCCAGGGAGGAGAAGGGTCACCTGTGGACACCAGGGAGGGCGTCAGGTGCGGGGCAACACCCTTGCAGGGGTTCAAACACCCTTGCCGTGGGCTGTAACACCCCTCCATGGGATAAAATACCCCTGTACAGGCTGCAACACCTCTGCATGGACTGAGGCACCTCTTCCAGGGCTGCTGCACCCCTGCACATGCTGAAACACTTCTGCCAAATACCCCTGAATATACTGAAACACCCCATAACAGGATGCAACACCCCTGCTATGGGCTACAACACCTCTACACGGGCTGCAACACCAACGACATGGGCTGCAACACCGCTTGCTTGGGCTGTAACACCCCTGCCTGAGTTACAACACCCCTGCACAGACCAAAGCACCATGCACAGGCTGTGATAACCCTGCACGAGCCACAACACCCCTGCATGGGCTACAACATCCCTTCACAGGCTGCAACCCCCCTGCATGAGCTAAAATGATCTGCATGATCTGCAACACCCCCACAAAGCTGCAGCATTCCTCCAAGGGCTGCAACACCCCGGTGTGGGCTGAAACCACATCCTCAAGTGGGTTTTTCTCTCACTGCGTCCTCACCACACTGCTCACGTCCTTTCAGGGCATGTGTGTCCCCGAGGCTGAAGGGGAGCCAGACCCCAAAGCGTCCCCATCCCCACACCCTCTGCTCGGTGGGTGTGGGTGTTTTGGGGAGCGAGGTCCCCGCTCACATTGCTGTGGTCAGCACAGGCTCTTCCGGCCACATGTGGCGAGAGAGAAGGTGTCACAGAGGAGGAGGAGGGGGAAATCAGACCTCTCCTGTCATGGCTACATGGAGACGTCCATCCCCAGCCCTGTTACTGCCCTGGCTGCTGGACAGCCACCCCCACCAGTCTGCAGCATGGCTCCGTCTCCAGCTGAGAGCGGAGGGAAGGAGCAGGAAGGTGTCCTGTCCTCTGCACTCCAGCAAGCAGGAGGAGACATAGGTTTGGGGTGGATGAGATGTTTCAGGCAGGTTTTCTCAATCATGGTTATTGATTCCCTTTCCTCTCTCTCAGTAGGGGTGGAAAGAGCCCAGCTCTCCCCTTCCATCTCTGCTTTCCACACTGGTGGTGTGGCAAGGCCTCAGCCGTTGCCAACAGGGCAGCGTTGCCAAATCTGAGGAAACTCGGCTGGTTGGGGGTTTTATTCCTCATAATTAGTGGCTATTTAAACTGATGAACAACCCTGGCTCTCGCAAACCCTGTACCCCTGGGTGGGAATCATCCCCCCCACCACATTCAGAAACTTCCCATTTTGCTGAATTTCAGCGCTGACCAAGCAGTGGAGCTGCCACAGGTGCCAGCAGGGACGGGGATGCCAAAGAGCATCTTCCAGGCAAGTGGAACCCCCTGTGCCACATTGAGGGTTTAGGTGATGTGCAGCAGCATGGCACCCAGGCTTCCCCTTCCCTGTGCACCCAAGAGCCCCCGAGCTCACCCCAGGGTGGCTCCATCCCCTCACTGCCCACGGGAAGGGGACGCAGCTGGTGCCGTGTCCGATGGCTGCACGGCGGTGTCTGGCTCCAGCTCTCCCCAAAAGGAGCTGTTGGAGCTGGGGAGCAGATGGCAGCTGAGCCCTTCCCGAGCTGCCAGGTCCCGCCCGTGCTGAGCCCCAGCCAATTCATCACCCCTGTCCCGCCGGGCAGGGCTGGGCACGGAGCAGCCACAGCCCCGGCTGCCCCTCCATCTGTTCCCTGGCCCCTGGGACACGGGACAGCTCAGCCCCATCCCCAGCTGCTAGACAGGGCACAATATCCCTTGCACACCACCCCGCATGTCACCCACAGTGCTGAGGTACCCCTGGGGCTCCCTGCCTGCCCTGCATCCACTCCCCTCATGGGGTAAGTCAGGCTCTGGGGGGATGCAGCCACATGGAGCCATGTGGGGTGCTGGGAATGTCCCACCCTGTGCTGTGGGAACAAGCCATGGTGGCATTTGCCAGGCTGAGGGGGCCACGACGCCCTGGGCAGGAGGTGGCTGCCAGAGGAACTCACACAGCAGCTCGGCAGTGGGAAGAGGAAGCAGCAGGAGCACGGTGTGGGCTGGGGGGAGGAAGAGGATGGTGCTGTGGCCATCAAGGGGCCACAGGACTGGCAGGACCTTGTCTGCTGGGGATGGTGACAGCTGGTAGGGTCAGGCAGGGCTGACAGCAGGGCTGCAGCCCCCTGGCTATCCTGGATCCCTCCATGCCTTGTCCCACACTGTCATCCTGCATTGCTGTGTGCAGCCCCGGCTCCTGCTCCCTGGGAAGAGGAACCGAGAGGGCTGCACACAGCCCAGCCTGGTGCCACTGAGGTTCCTCTGTCCCCCTGTGGCTCTGGAGCTCCCTGGGCCCAGCAGGAAAACTTGGGCATGAGGCAGCTGCAGTGCAGAAGGGGAAAGTGGCTCATGAGGACACAGGACCTGGAGCTGTGTCACCGTCCCATGCCCAGGACCCCACAGACCCAGGGAGGGGACAGGAGCCCACATCTGCTCCTTGTTCCAGCTCTGTGGCAGGTGGTGGCATGTCCCTGCCCCCTCCCCACTGCCCCCAGCCCCAAGGAAACCCCGATGGAGCCCTGCTTCAGCTCCAGCTCTCCCAGTTCACCCAGTGCCTGGTGAGTCCCCTGTGGCTCCCGGTGGGAGCAGGCTCCTCCAGAACAAGGGGTGCACGGAGGGATGGCCCCCCATCCCCTGCATGCCCACAAGCAGGGCTGGTCCCTGGGATGAAATTTGAAGGACTTGCCAACCCCAAAAGTGATCTCTGCAAGGCCATCTGTCAGCCACAGGCCCACGACAGAGGGGTCCCCTGCCCCCCGCCCTGGCACAAGATGCTCAGAGGAGAGGGAGCCCCCCTTCCCCAGCCTTCCAGCCCCATCGCTGGCTGGGAAAGCAGGATTTCCGCTGGAAGAAGAGCAATTCCCGGATCCAAGGGGCTGCAGGGGCGGAGGGAGGGAGCCGGCCAGGGCTCCAAATACAATGTCCCGGGAGGAGCGGGGTGGGGAGGGAATTGTGCAGGGCAGGAAGCAGCGAGTTCCTGTCCCTCCTTGGGACACACCAAGGATCAGGGACGAAGCAGAGCTGCAGGGACCGGGGGGAGCATCCGCCCCGGCCAGGGCCTGAGCCCCTGCAGCTCCCCCAGCCTCAGCCGCGGAGAGCTCAGCCCGCAGCATCGCCCCGAGCGCTGGCTGGGCTGGGAGCACACGGGCACCTGCGGGGACGGAGGGCACAGGTGTGTGTGTGTCCCCCAGGGTGTCCCGTCCCCTCCCCGGCCCGCAGGTCCCGCACGGTGAGGGCACCATGTGCTCCGCAGGCTCCCCGACGTGGTGTTAATCCCAGTTCGTGCCGGGACGGTGAGCTGGAGCTGGAGGGTGCCCCCAGACCTTCACACACACCCCGCTGACCTGCTGCCCCCCGGGATGGTGAGCTGGAGCTGGAGGGTGCCCCCAGACCTTCACACACACCCCGCAGCCCCTGCTGGCCTGCTGCCCCCCAGGATGGCGAGGACGGGGGTCTCCTCCCACCCTCGGGCATTCCCAGGGAAGCAGGGAGGGCACAGTGAGGGCGAGCCCCACCAGCAGTCCCCACCAGTGTCGCGGGACTCTCTGTCCCCCCAGCTCAGTGGCCGCCTCCCCCGGCACCCAGAGCCACCCCGCACACGGAGGGGGCATCTCCCAGCAGCACAGGGCAAGGGGATGGAGACCCCCGCGCTGTTACGGGGCTGAGCCCCCACACCCTGCCCCTCACAGCGCACACGTACCTCCTGCCGTCAGCCCTCCTGTCCGGCTGGCATGGACCCCCCTCGCACGGGGCTCCCTCCGGGACCACCGGGCAGCCCCGCTCCGGCCCGCGCCGGGGCTGCGGGGGCGGCGGCCGTGGGAGAGCGGGAGCGCCCGGCCGTGAGCTTCCCCTGTCTCTGCTCGGCTCTGGCAGCCGAGCAAGAGCTTCCCCTCCCCTCGCCCCCCCTTCCTCCCCGCGCTCGCAGCAATGGTTCATTGTACCAGCCGGCCCCGCCGCTGCCGGATCGCCCTCCGGGTCACCCTCCGGGCCACGGCGGGGACCGCAGCCTGCCCGCGGGGCTGCCACGGCGCCAACAGCGTCAGGGGCTCTCCGGTCCCCAGCAGCACCGGGAGACACCGGCGCGGATTGCCAGGCTCTGCCTGCGGGGATTTACGGGGGATGTGCGGGTCCAGCCCGTGCCACGGCGGGGCTGCCCGCGCCCGTCCCCAAAGCCTGGCACAGCCTCCCCGAGACCCCCAGGGAGCATCCCCGGCAGGGCACAACAAAGGGACATCAAACTGAGCACAGAGCGCTGTGGCCCTGCAAGGACAGGAGCAAGCAGCCCGGCCGGTGGCAGGACACGCACAGCAGCCACCCGTCCTGCTGGCACAGGCTCCGGGGGCAGTGAACAGCCCGCCATGCCTGGGGAATGGCAGGTAGCTCTGGGTTGTGTTCTAGGGGCGTCCCACACATCCCCCCCAGATGGGGTGCAGCTCTTATATGGCTCAAGCCAGTCCTGTGTCCATGGATTGCCCACTAGACATCAAAGCCCTTATTTACCCCTTGTCCTGATAAAGTTGCTGGTGGGATGACCCCAAGATTTGGCATCGGTCACACCAAGCCACAAACTTCAGTGAGCTCTGGGATTGGGGTAAACCATGCAGACCCCTGAGTGCCCCTGCACCCCGTCTGAGCCCCCCGCACCCTGTGTGATTCCCCTGCGCCCTGTCAGAGCCTCCCAGCCCTGTCTGAGCCCCTCACACCCTGTATGATCCCCCTGCACCCCACCTGAGCCCCCCGCACCCTGTGTGATTCCCCTGCACCCTGTCAGAGCCTCCCCAGCCCTGCCTGAGCCCCCTGGAACCGGCTCTGTCCCGGCTCTGCCACACTGTCCTCCCACACAGCTGGGCTGGAGTGGGATCCTTCCCATCTCTCCAGAGCCTTCCTCCTCCTCCTCCTCCTCCTGCTCCTCGCCCTGCAGTTAGCCCTCAACTTGTGACCTCCTGACTCATCCTGAGAGGGAAGGAAGCCGGGCTGACCCCGGCTTGGGGGTGCCCCACAGATCCATCCCTGCACCCACCCGAATGCGGCTTGGGGCGTTCTGGGGCTCATCCCGCACCTCCTGCGCCCCGCGGGGCCCGCGTTGCTCCATCCCCGTCCGCGGGGCCCTGCCGGGACACGCCGAGCCCGGGGTGCCCGTCCCCCGCCAGGCACCACCCGGTGCCGGTTCCTGCCCTCCCCGGGGAGGGCCCGGCCGCCGCATTGGCTCCGCCGGGTTTCGCTTAAAGCCGCCGGGCCGGTGCCGGGGAGCTCCGGGATGGGAGCGCTCCGCTGGCTCGCGGTCTCTGCCGAGGGAGCCGGGGCCGGGATGGGAGCGCTCCGCTGGCTCGCGGTCTCTGCTCTCTGCATCGCCGTCCGGGGTGAGTGTGAGCCCCAGTCCGGCGCTGGGGACAGCCCGGGCAGGGGAGGGCGGCGGGGGCGCCCACCAGATCTGCTCCCGCTGCCCTGCAGGGGAGGTTGGAGTCTGGGGAAGTGGTTTTACTGCTCGTTGGGCCCCAACATTTGCAGTTCCTCCAAGACACAGCTGAGATGGGCGGCAAAGAGGGCAGGTGCCTTGAGGGCTTGGTGGGGCTGGGGGCGTAAAAATAAAACTAAATCGAGGCTTTAACCCAAGGGGTTTAACCCAAGCAGGCAGGACAGCCAGGTGTGAGGGGACAGGGGTGGCAGGGCAGCCGTGTCCCCGTGGGACCCCCCCTTTCTGGGTGCTGAAAAAGCGAGCAGGGCTGGGAGGTGGCTGCAGCCGTTGCTGCCTGTGGGCGCCCCGGGATGGCGCGTGATGGGCACCATGGCACAGCCTGGGCTGCAGCCGGGGGTCTGTCCATCCCCGCCTCCCCAGGGTCGGCGGCAGGGCTGCTCCCGGCTCTGCCGGGCGGGGCAGGCGCTGTCTGGGTCCGGGCAGGTGCTGCCTCGCTCCCGGCGAGGAGGGAGCAAGATGCTGAGGGAGGGAAGGGCTCGTTCCCAGCAGTTGTGTTGGCGTGGGGTTGCACAAGCTGGGAGCCCGGGGGGAGGCTGGGGAGGTCACTGGAAGATGCCAGGCAGGACCGGTTATGTCCCTGGCACCCCTCAAACATGCCCTGTGGGGGGGGGGGGCAGCTTGGCTGGTCCCAGCGTGGAAATATTCCAGGCCAGGGCCACCAGTGCTGGGGGTGACACTGGGGCACCACCCCAAGAGTCACCCAGGAGCTGGGGTTCCCTGAGGGTGCAGCAGTGCAGGGCTTGCTGCAGTGTCACAGCAGGTTGTGGCAGGGTGCTGACCCTGGAGGGTGTCCGTGCCTCAGCGTCCCTTGGATGTGCCTTTGGATGAGCTCAGGAAGCTCTTTTGGCCAAGGAGGGAAGCCCCGGGCTGCAGGGAAGGGGGGCACTGTCTTGGCAGCCTCCCATCCCCATCACAGCCCCCTCACCCTGCCCCCTCTGCCTTCCAGGACAGGACTATGGGCTCTCCCGCCCACCCCCTCAGTTCGGCTCCATCTACCATGTCCGAGGTAAGGGGACCCCCAGCCCTGTGTGGGGGACAGAGGATGCTCAGCATGGGTCAGACCAGGCTGTCCCAGTGCCAAACTGGGGCAGGCTCCCACAGCCGGGTGCCCTTCCTGCCCCATCACCCCTGGGGCGCTGTCTTGGTCAACTGTGGGTCTGCAGACGCTGGGGGGCTCAGGGAGGGATGTTGGGGTGCTGAGGCTTTGGGCTGAGCTGTGTCCTGTGCCGGGGGCTCCTGTGCAGGGGTCATTAAGCTGCCCTACGCCGAGATCGAGGAGCCCTTTGAAGCCTGGTACAACCTGACGGGGAACAAGAGCCGGATCCAGTACTACGGAGGTAAGAGGTGGCACCCAGCTGTGCCCACCCTGCACCAGCAGGACTCTGTGCCTCAGTTTCCCCTTCCCTGGCACAGGGCAGGTGATAACCTACCAGCTGGCAGCGGTGAAGCCCTATGGGATGCGGTACAAGATCACGCCAGAGACAACTGAGAAGGAGGTGAACACCAGGAAGTGCTTCCAGCTGCCTGGCTCCAAGGAGGACGTGGTCACGGCTCAGAGCGTCTTCCCCAGCATGAGGGGCTTTAAGGTGGGAATCCTCAGAGCCCAGACCTGCCCTGCCTCCCAAAGCATCTCCAGGCTGTGGGAGGAGGTGCTGGGAGACTCTCCTCTCTGTCCGAGGGCTGCAGGGCGCTGGGGCCAGCCAGGACCCGTCCCCACAGCCCAGGGTGCAGGGAGGGTCACTTCCCCACCCGGCTCGGGGCCGGACTCCTGGCTCCTTTCCCAACTCCAGCAGCCGTGTTGGGACGTGTCACATCCCACACAAACGCTGGCATTTCAGCATGGTTTGGGCAAGCCTCTGCACGGCAGCTCAGCTCCTGCCGGCCCCAGCCTGTGTCAGGGCTGGGCACAGCACGTGAGCAGTGGGGACAGCAGCTTGTCCCTGAGCTGGACACATGCCTGCATGGCGAGAGCTTGGAAACACGCAGGAAAACCCTGAAATCTCTTCAGGTTTTTGGAGAAATGGTGCAGCCAGACTCCCTGCTATGGGTGCACAGATTGCTGCGCACAGTGGAGTGTCCCCAGGGCACCGCTGAGCCAGACAGGGGGGTCTGCCCTGTGTTGCACCCCATATCCTTGCCCCAGTTTCCATCCCATGCATGGCTGTGTGCCAATGGCCATGGAGCCACTGGATCCAGCCAGAGAGCACTGGGCTGTGCAAAGGGGCTGGCTGGGCAGCAGGTGGCCTGGGGGAGGCTGGGGTCCCCTCCCTGAGGCCGTGTCCCCCCAGTTCCTGCGGGAGGAGTACTACGAGGGCCGGTACTGTGCCGTGTGGCAGAACGTCACCCGCTGGGCGCAGAAGAAGAACGTCTACACCCTGTGGGTGACCAACTCCAGCTGCGGGGTGGCCCCCGTGCACTATGAGATGCGGGGGTACAACAGCCTGCTGGGCTCCCACTACGACAAGTATGAAATCGCCTACACTGACTTCGACAACAGCTACCCGCCCTCCGTCTTCGACCTCCCCGTCAACGGTGAGCCAGGGAGGGGCCCCCCGTCCCGTCTGTGCGGCTCGGGCTGACAGGGCCCTCTCCTCGGTCCCCAGAGACCAAGTGTGGGGTGCTGCCGGGGACGGTGGCGGAGCACCGCGTGCTGGCAAACCCCATGGAGGACCTGGTGGGCCAGCACCAGCCCTGGGCTCACCGCGTTTTCCACGAGTACCGCCGGCAGCTGGGGCGGCGCTACGGCTCCGCGCGGGAGCTGGAGCACCGGCAGAGCATCTTCGTGCACAACATGAGGTACAGCTGGGGGCATGAGGACCCTCTAGGGGTGCTGTCACTGCGAGGGGGCGGCGGCAGGGCCAGCTGGCGCTGTCCCCGCCGTGTGCAGGTTTGTGCACTCGCGGAACCGCGCCGCGCTCTCCTACACGCTGTCCCTGAACCACCTGGCCGACCGCACGCCACAGGAGCTGGCAGCGCTGCGGGGCCGCCGCCGCAGCGGGACCCCCAACCACGGGCTGCCCTTCCCCACCGAGCTCTACGCCGGCATCATCCTGCCCGAGAGCCTGGACTGGCGCATGTACGGTACGTGTGCGGTCAGGGGGACACCGGGGCGCTTCGGGAGCGAGTGCTCCTCACCCAGACCTGTGCTCAGTCCCACAGAGCCCCCCTGCTCCCCATCACTACACTGAGAGCCTGTGGGACTGTGCTGTCCCTTGGGGTGCACATCTGTGAGGGTGGTGAGGCACTGGAACAGGCTGTACAGAGCACCCAGGGCTGTCCAAGGCCAGGATGGACGGGGCTTGGAGCAACCTGGGACAGTGGAAGGTGTCCC